TTCCCGTGCGTAATACAAAATGACTGAAAAACGGCAAACTTCGCAAGGCTATATTATCCGCATTTTACAACATTTCGCAACGAAACTTTGGAATATTATTAATTTTGTGATGCTCTTTCAAGCTGTGATGAAATTTTTGTCTAGGCTTGTTTAGATCAAAATGTTGTCTATTACGCAAATGGTTAATTGGTCGAAATGCGCCAGAACTGTTGAAAGTGAGAGCATTCCGCAACGGTCCTAATGGAACTCCGTGGGCGCACAAACTAGCTGTTGGTTGGACGATATGCGGACAAGCCTGCGTCGATCGTCAAGGAGGACCAATTCATGTCGGTACCCACCGTACAATTTACTACGACCCACCGAGACAGATACATTTCGAACAAGATGAGGCGAGCACTTTGCAACGTGATGCCAAACCCAAGCAAGATAAAAGTAACACAAGAGAGATCTCATACCATGAGTTTACACCCTGCACAAATAACTACGTTGTACAAGAGAACTTCCCCGACGTGTACCAAGCAACAGATCGCGACAACGAAACCACCATGTCAATAGAAGACCAACGCTTCATTCAAATAGTGGAATCCAATATCCACAAAAATCAAACAGGACATTGGGAGATGCCACTACCCCTCCGATCTAACGACATACACGTTCCTCACAACAGAAATCAAGCTTCAACTCGTCTCAAAAGCCTTCTGCGTTCGTTCAAGAGGAATCTGAAAATGGAGCAAGAGTACTTCAACTTTATGGCAAAACTGTTTGAATGCGGTCATGTCGTACCAACACTAATCGAAGCCACTCCCCCAAAAGAAACTGGGAAAATTTGGTACCTACCACATTTTGGCGTATACCATCCTCGTAAACCAAATAAGATCCGAGTTGTATTCGACTCCTCAGCAGAGTTCAAAGGAACATCTCTTAATAAGGAACTGTTGTCAGGTCCAGATATGCACAATGGTCTTCAGGGAATACTAGTCAGATTCAGAAGAAATGCCGTTGGTGTGATGTGTGATATAGAGCAAATGTTCCACAACTTCCATGTCCACCCACCACATAGAGATCTATTGCGGTTCCTGTGGTTCGCTGATAACGACAAAGAAAAAGATATCATCGTCTACCAAATGGTGGTGCACTTGTTTGGCAACACATCAAGTCCCGCTGTAGCAACGTTTGGCCTTAGGAAAACGGCAGAAGAAGGAGAGAAAGAGTTTGGTCAAGACGCCAAAGACTTTGTCGTCGAAGACTTCTACGTAGATGACGGTCTGACATCACGCGATACCGCGGAAGGAACTGTGTCTCTCATTAAGAACACTCAAGCAATGCTCGCAACTGCAAATCTGAGACTTCATAAGATTGCATCCAATTCCGTCGAAGTCATGAAATCATTTCCAGATCAAGACCGAGTCGAAAGCCTCAAAGATCTACACATTGAACAAGGCCCACTTCCGTCACAACGGTCGTTAGGAGTAATGTGGGATTGGGAGAAGGATGCTTTCGCATTTCAAATTACATAGCCGGAGAAACCGTATACTCGTAGAGGCGTGTTATCTGTCGTTAACTCAATTTATGACCCATTGGGATCTCGTCAAAATGGGGAATGAAAGATGGGGAGACAAAGCATCTCTCGGATGGGACGATCCTCTTCCGCAACCACTACAAAATCGATGGAGAGATTCATTATGTGACTTAGAAGATATCCGAATCCCAAGATGTTATCGTCCAGAAACATTCGGGGAAACGAAAAGATCAGAAATTCACGCGTTCTCGGATGCCAGTGATAAAGCAATCGGTACTGCAGTCTTCCTTAAGCAAGAAAACTAAACGGGAGAAGTAAATGTTTCACTTCTGTTTGCACAAGCACGATTATCTCCAAAACAAGCAACGACTATCCCAAGGCTCGAACTTTGTGCCGCAGTGCTATCAGCCCAAGCAGTGAAGTGGATAACTCGTGAACTGCGATTGAATATTGATGAAATTGTATTCTACACCGATTCCAGAGTGGTGTTAGGCTATATTCAGAACGAGAGCCGACGCTTCTACGTGTACGTACGAACAGGGTCCAGATCATTCGCAGCATTTCAGATCCTTCACAGTGGAAATACGTGGAAACGAGCCATAACCCCGCAGACATCGCAACTCGTGGCAAACCAGCCAAGCAGCTCGTGGCATCTTCATGGTTCAACGGTCCGGAATTTCTGCGAAATGACCATTCTTCCCCAACGACAAATGATCACGAACTTAGTATTATGAGTGACGATCCCGAAGTTCGTCCCGAAGTTTCAACTTACTCGTCCGAGGTTCAACTAATTGAAAGTCTGGGATCGGAAAGATTCAATCGCTTCTCAAGGTGGACTACACTTCGCAGAGCTCTAGCCAATTTGATTGTTAAAGCAAAACAAATCAAAGCCCGACGGCGAGGAGGAAATTTGTCAACACCCAACACCAGGCGTACCCGTAGCAATCCACCGAACCCTCCAACCTCCAAGCATTCTCTCACAAATCCTTCTGCTAAGGAACTGAACCAAGCTGAAAACTTGATGATGAAGACTGCGCAAGCGGACGCGTTCACTCCCGAGATTAGGATAATACAACAATCGAAGTCATTGAAGAAGTCACGCTTATACAGCCCGACCCTTTCATCGATAATAACGGAGTACTTCGAGTCGGTGGTCGCCTACGACAAGCCGAACAACTATTTGAAGAGAAACATCCAGCTATCCTTCCTAGAGATTGTCACTTGGCGAATTTAGCAATCGAGCACTTTCACGAAACCGTCCACCACCAAGGCAGACAGATTACGTATGGGAAAATCCGTCAAGCAGGGATATGGGTAATCGGAGCAAACCGGATGATTTCAAAGAGAATCAAGCGATGCGTCACTTGTCGGAGATTGGGAGGGAAGCTATTAACGCAACACATGGCCGACCTACCACGCGAAAGATTGGAAACGCCACCACCGTTTACCAACGTAGGGTTCGACGTGTTCGGGCCCTGGACTATCCAAACACGAAAACTAAGAGGAGGAGCAGTCAACGCAAAACGTTGGGTGTCATATCGAGGTGTTGGAAACGATGGAGACGAGCTCGTTTATCTGTGCCCTTAGACGATTCTTCGCTTTACGCGGCCCATCACTTCTTCTGCGATGTGATCGAGGTACTAACTTCATTGGAGGAAAATCTGAATTAGATCAAGCTCTGAGCGCGATGAACCAGAAGGCTATCACGAAATATGTTACAGAACAAAACTGTGAGTGGATATTTAACCCTAGACGCAATGTTCCTGGAACTCGGAAGTCCACAACTGACACACGAGCTATTGGTTACCCTTATGGCTGAAATTACTGGAATAATCAACTCACGTCCTATCGTTGTCGTACCATCCGATATCGATCAACCCCAGCCACTTACACCTAATATGCTGTTAACTATGAAGACCCGACCTCTTCTACCTCCACCGGGCGTGTTCACACCGGAAGATGTCTATTCACGTCGTCATTGGCGAAGATCACAATATCTAGCTGATCAATTCTGGACACGTTGGAAATGGGAATATCTTCAATCTCAGCAGAAAAGAACAAAATGGAACGAACGACAGCCAAATTTAAGAGAAGGGGATATTGTCATCATGAAGGAGCAAAGCCCACGTAATCAATGGCCCCTTGGTAGAGTCGTGGAAGCGATACTCAGCGAAGACGGGAAGGTCAGAAAGGCAAAAATTGCCATTTCAAGAGACGGAGAGAAAAAGGTCTATTATAGACCAATTAATGAACTTGTTCCTATAATACATGCCTAATAGTTGAGTATCTTATATGTTTAATTAAGATAATAGTAGCAAGGACGATATTCACGTCCTTGGGCGAGGAGTGTGATGTACTTGATGTAAGAACTTTAGATTGAACTCGGCCCAGGCTTCCATGTGGGCATATAAAACGCGGACACATTTGTTTTGGCGGCCATATTTGAACTTAGAGCTGGAGTAAACTTAGTAATTTTTGAACTTAGAGCTGGAGTAAACTTAGAGCTGGAGTAAACAAGTTATTTGGAGTGGAGTAAAGCCTTAGATGTATGTATTCTGTTGTATTTGTTCGTCAGTTGTCCATTTATTTGTTTAAATATTTGTAATTTGTGTACGATATTTGTTCCGTTTATTTGTATAGTTTTCACCGTGGTTGTACGAATTAAAAGCCTTTTTATAATTTCGTGTTTCCTTGGTTGACACTTTGTTCCCTCCCTGGGACACAACAGAGACAGTGTTGTTTTCAAGTATATAAACATTTCAGACATGAATATTGAGAAAATCTTTGAGATTTTACACAATAATACAATATATAAATTGATGTTATTTAGACCGTGTATTCATTGTCATTGACTGTATAAGGTGCTACATCACAGAATAGATGGCTACACTCAGTACAAAGAGCGAAAAATTGCATCAGATCTGTATCAGATCAATAAAGCATAAACAACTATTAAACAGAAGCGAGTGTTTGTATGGCGTTTTATACTGAAGAAAATAACTTGCAAGACTAAAGAAATCAGTTGAGTCAGAGCTCCTTATTTAAATAAGAAAGACAAGGAGATAGCCAATGTGTTATTGCCAACGTGTTATTGCCATCGCTTGGCTCGCCAACAAGCTTTATGCAATAGAAGAAAAAAGCAAGGAGGTACATGTAGCCAACGTGTACTGTCACAGACCTTGTCTTTGTTTACTGTCTAGCACAACGCCATTGTCAACGGTGCAAACTCGTGTTCAGTGCAACGATAACTCTACCAGATCTTACGAGAATCAATCTGTAGTATTCTGTACACAGAACTGTATCAAAGCTTGTTAAAACTGCTTTAATTTAAACACTGCTTAACTGTGAAACTATCGAAATCTAAAGTGACATTATTCAACACATGCAAAAAGCTGAAAACAGACGCAGCATCATGACACTGGGAAAAGTCAAAGGCAATGAGACTTGTTATTGTGAAACATGTCACAATTAGGTTGAAATGCGGAAGCGGATGGAGCAGATCCACAGAACGGATATGTGGATAAAATACGGAACGGATGAGGATAAAATGCGTCCTTTTAATGATGTAACAACGTGGTGCTTATTATTCATAACATATCTTATACAGCTATTTCAATTATAGTTTTAGATCAATTTAGCATAGCAGTAGCCTCGTGGGGATGCTTTTAGCGACAGCTGCAAATGCAAATGAAAATTTAGAATATGCAAAATTTGGTTGTTGGTGAAACAATTTAAATTTCGAATTGTCACGTGTAGCATCACAATAAATAGATAAATTGCATCAGTTTCACAAGGCACGTTTCTGATGTGTTAGGCTTGTTTCAAACGTCACGCTACTCTTGTGCCGAACGTATTAAAAGCAATAAATAATGAGATGAAATTGCCTTTGGTAACTGTTTATTTTGTAGTGTAAGCCATCAGCTTTTCTAGGTTGTGGGCGACCCTATATAGTTCGTGGAGTGTCTTTTTGAATTTGAAACTTCACACTATCCTTGGATCCCTAGTTTTTTCAATTTTCTGATGGATTTTTATGATAATGAAGATATAGTCGGAAAACAGAAGGATGTTATTATGAAAGCTGTTGAAGGAAAAGAAATAAAGAGATACCTACAAAAGGTTTTATTTCGAATAATTAAGCCAACATGCAACTAACTACAATTGTTTGAAACAAAATATGTACAAACAGAAAATATGTGCATGTGTAGAACTGACATGACAACATATTTGGCTTGATTCAAACGTCACGCTACTCGTGTGCTGAGCGTATTAAAAGCAATAAATAATGAGATGAAATGCCTTTGGTAACTGTTTATTTTGTAGTGTAAGCCATCAGCTTTTCTAGGTTGTCGGCGACCCTATATAGTTCTTGCCATGTCTTTTTCAATTTGAAACTTCACACTATCCTTGGATCCCTAGTTTTTTCAATTTTCTGATGGATTTTTATGATAATGAAGATATAGTCGGAAAACAGAAGGATGTTATTATGAAAGCTGTTGAAGGAAAAGAAATAAAGAGATACCTACAAAAGGTTTTATTTCGAATAATTAAGCCAACATGCAACTAACTACAATTGTTTGAAACAAAATATGTACAAACAGAAAATATGTGCATGTGTAGAACTGACATGACAACATATTTGGCTTGATTCAAACGTCACGCTACTTGTGTGCTGAGCGTATTAAAAGCAATAAATGAGATGAAATGCCTTTGGTAACTGTTTATTTTGTAGTGTAAGCTATCAGCTTTTCTAGGTTGTCGGCGACCCTATATAGTTCTTGCAGTGTCTTTTTAAATTTGAAACTTCACACTATCCTTGGATCCCTAGTTTTTTTCAATTTTCTGATGGATTTTTATGATAATGAAGATATAGTCAGAAAACAGAAGGATGTTATTATGAAAGCTGTTGAAGGAAAAGAAATAAAGAGATATCTACAAAAGGTTTTATTTTGAATAATTAAGCCAACATGCAACTAACTACAATTGTTTGAAACAAAATATGTACAAACAGAAAGTATGTGCATGTGTAGAACTGACATGACAACATATTTGGCTTGTTTCAAATGTCACGCTACTTGTGTGCCGAGTGTATTAAAAGCAATAAATAATGAGATGAAATGCCTTTGGTAACTGTTTATTTTGTAGTGTAAGCCATCAGCTTTTCTAGGTTGTCGGAGACCCTATATAGTTCTTGCAGTGTCTTTTTAAATTTAAAACTTCACACTATCCTTGGATCCCTAGTTTTTTTCAATTTTCTGATGGATTTTTATGATAATGAAGATATAGTCAGAAAACAGAAGGATGTTATTATGAAAGCTGTTGAAGGAAAAGAAATAAAGAGATATCTACAAAAGGTTTTATTTTGAATAATTAAGCCAACATGCAACTAACTACAATTGTTTGAAACAAAATATGTACAAACAGAAAGTATGTGCATGTGTAGAACTGACATGACAACATATTTGGCTTGTTTCAAATGTCACGCTACTTGTGTGCCGAGTGTATTAAAAGCAATAAATAATGAGATGAAATGCCTTTGGTAACTGTTTATTTTGTAGTGTAAGCCATCAGCTTTTCTAGGTTGTTGGCAACCCTATATAGTTCTTGGAGTGTCTTTTTCAATTTGAAACTTCACACCATCCTTGGATCCCTAGTTTTTTCAATTTTCTGATGGATTTTTATGATAATGAAGATATAGTCAGAAAACAGAAGGATGTTATTATGAAAGCTGTTGAAGGAAAAGAAATAAAGAGATATCTCCAAAAGTTTTATTTCGAAAAATTATAGACCCGTCAAGTTTTAGGATAGCAAAAAAAGCGTAGGGTTTGTTGTAGAGCTCTACAGCGCTACACGAAGCGTGAAATCTTACACAGCTGTTATATGTAGATCAATACCAGAAGTAAACAAGGGTTGAAAAATTATGTTCTATGACAACGGAATTTTCCGACTGGTGTCTTTCTGGATAAAAAAATGCTGAACCATTGTTTCCGAAAAAAACGCTGAACTGTTGCTTCCAAAAAAAAATATGCTGAACCAACTCTACAACTCTATAGCTCTACAACTCTATAGCTGTACAACTCCACAGCTCTACAACTTTACAACCCTACAGCTCTATAACTCTATAGCTCTGCAGCTCTACAACTCTATAGCTCTACAGCTCTACAGCTCTACGACTCTACAGCTCTACAACTCTATAGCTCCACAGCTCTACAGCTCTACAACTCTACAGCTCTACAACTCTACAGCTCTACAGCTCTACAACGCTACAACTCTACATCTCTGCAGCTCTACAGCTCTACAACTCTACAGCTCTACAGCTCTACAACTTTACAGCTCTACAACTTTACAGCTCTACAGCTCTACAACTCTACAGCTCTACAGCTCTACAACGCTACAGCTCTACAACTCTACAGCTCTACAACTCTACAGCTCTACAACTCTACAGCTCTACACCTCTACAACTCTACAACTCTACAGCTCTATAGCTCTACAACTTTACAGTTCTACAACTTTACAGCTCTACAACTTTACAGCTCTACAATGCTACAGCTCTACAGCTCTACAGCCCTACAGCTCTACAACACTACAGCTCTACAACTCTACATCTCTACAGCTCTACAGCTCTACAGCTCTACAGCTCTACAACTCTACAGCTCTACAGCTCTACAACTTTACAGCTCTACAACTCTACAGCTCTACAACGCTACAGCTCTACAACTCTACAGCTCTACAACTCTACAACTCTACAGCTCTACAACTCTACAACTCTACAACTCTACAACTTTACAGCTCTACAATTTTACAGCTCTACAATTTTACAGCTCTACAACTCTGCAGCTCCGGCTCTACAGCTCTATAATTAATATTTAATAGAAACTGAGAATCAATGTGTCTGTGCCAAGTTCATTACAAATTAAGATAAATTATTATGCATGGTGACTGGTTGCAAATAAATACAGCTCTACAACACTACAGCTCTACAACTCTACATCTCTACAGCTCTACAGCTCTACAACTCTACAGCTCTACAGCTCTACAACTTTACAGCTCTACAACTCTACAGCTCTACAACGCTACAGCTCTACAACTCTACAGCTCTACAACTCTACAACTCTACAGCTCTACAACTCTACAACTCTACAACTCTACAACTCTACAGCTCTACAACTCTACAGCTCTACAACTTTACAGCTCTACAATTTTACAGCTCTACAACTTTACAGCTCTAGAACTCTGCAGCTCCGGCTCTACAGCTCTATAATTAATATTTAATAGAAACTGAGAATCAATGTGTCTGTGCCAAGTTCATTACAAATTAAGATAAATTATTATGCATGGTGACTGGTTGCAAATAAAATTAAGTATTTTAAACGAGTGAAACAATGAAATATAATACCATTGATCAACCTTAATTAAGCTTACTTTGGTTACTGCAGCCCGCTCTGGGACAATTGCTGAATTGGCCTCAACGACAGCTGCAGAAATATCAAAATCACGCGGCAGGAGTAATTTCTGGGGCAACCTATGAGAAATTGATCTCCTAATCTGCTTGAAAATCTTCACTGGGAACCCCTAGAGTAAACCACAACTGCCTAAAATCAATCTTCATCCATAAAATTGTGAACGACCACACCGCACCAAATCTAAAATGGTCCTTCCAATTAAATAAAGAAACGGACAACACCTACAATCTTAGAAATAGAGAAACTGACTTAGCACTTCCTAAGAGGTGCTATTTCGGCAAGAGGTGCTGTAACTATAATGGTGCTGCACTTTGGAATAGCCTACCATATGAGTAAAAAATTAATCTGTAAGTTCCTTTAAAGTGCATATGACATCAAATTTCATATTTTCTTCTTAAAATGAAAAACGCTTTAAGCTGTAGTGTAACTCATTTTTCAGTTTCTTGTTTTTATGGTTTGTTCCCGAGATATTTCAATTTGTTTGATATGTAAATGAGTGTGACCTTACACTGGTTATAAATCTATTAACTCTAAAAACTGTAGATATCAGTTCACGTTTTTCTCCAGTGTTTCATCACATTTACCAGTGAGTGAAGTTTGAAATTATCATCTTGGATGGTAGCTGTGATATCCAACCATTTTGAAGAGCTTGCAACCAATGTGACGTCATAATTTAGCGGACATATTCACACTCATTTACATATCAAACAAATTGAAATATCTCGGGAACAAACCTAGCCTACAAACCATAAAAACAAGAAACTGAAAAATAAGTTACACTACAGCTTTAATACGATCATTTTTTCATCTTTGAATCTGGATATGATATATAATTCATAGTGACTAGACAGTGTTCTCTTGCTTCTACTTTCGTTATTTCTTATTTTCATCTTCTTATTATGTAACATACTGCGTGTATATTGAGGCTAGTGTGTTTCAAGAATTAAAAGTTTGTACGCGTATTATGTATGAACAAGTAATGCTTTCTATGAAGGTTTTTTTACTCAAAACAAGTAGACTAGTAACATTATATAACGACTTTAGCAAGCTTTCATTGGTAGGAATGCAACTACCTGAAAATATATACTACCTAGCTAAGAATAACACACAGACAGAGCTGGGCAAATAGTTGGTCTTTGCATGGTGCATGCATGGGTTCACCAAAAATTAAGTCGACTATGCATGTCAATGATGCGAATTCCTTGCTCTTTGCCTTGGGAGCAATGCATATGACATGCATGTATGTGCCATGTCATATGATACATAGTAGGTGTAGCAGGTGTGGGCCCCTGCCATATCATGGCCCCTAAAATGAAAACATTAGAAAAAATTAAAAACATAGATTTTAATTTTGAAAATCAAGATTAAGACATTACAATTTATATTGTAAAAATTTAAATTTACGAAAATATTGCGGAAAAATGTAACAAAATTACGATATGATATGCTTGTGATGTTACTCTGAGTGTGTATCCACACCGGGCAGCTTGAAAAATATGTCCGGAAAAATTTTTGTATGTCCGGAAAAATTACGATATATCTGGAAAAATTTTTGTACGTCCGGAAAAAATCCCCCTCCCCGCCAACAATTTTGGGGGCCACCGGGCCTGGGCCCCATCAGACGTTGCTCATTCGTTGTCCTTTTTAAGACACCAGCACGTCCCTGATACATCGGGTAGCCACGCAGTAGCTCGGAAGAGTGGTTTTCATTGGCTCGATATGACAATTGCTTTTGTGTTTATAACAATGAATTGCTTCGTTCTTTAGAAAACCCCCATCAAATTGGAGACGACCTTCCGAGGCACTGCGGGGCCTCCCAATACATAGCATGCAGCTACGCGACCCCAAAAGGACTAATAGTATATATTCGTCGTTGTGTGTCATTCTTAGCCTGGTCGCGTATGTACTCAGTGGGGTAATTCAATACATTGTAATGATGTCACACTTCAAATCTCGCCATATTTCCATAAATTGATAAACTTTATGGTTTATGAATAAACTTTTAGTGTGCAGTAATGCAAAATAATTTCATTCTCAAAATATCCTGATTTTTGGTAAACTGTAGAGCATATACTATACTATAATGTAGTGCAGTGGCATAGCCAGAGTCGAATGTTTGGGGGGGGGGGGCGAGCAGTGAATGGCGAAGCCACGAATGAGCTAGAGGGGCATGCCTCCCCGGGAAAATGTTTTGATTTCTAGTGCTCGGAAATGCCATTTCCCACATGCTGATACGAGTTTTTAAAAGTAATTAGAAGGTCATAAATCCCAAAATTCTGTCATTTTTACATTGGAACAAGGCACAATATTCATAGAATAATATTCATAGACTTATTGTCATCATCACACATTTGCTAATTACTAAATTTGAACTAAATCCATTTTTCTGGGAGAGATATCTACAAATGTTTGCACAAGGTTTTCTAGAATTAATTACAATTAATTGGATTTGACTTGTTGCTTACCTCACCTACCCCCCCCCCATCCCCCCACTCCCCAATATTTTCGTGAGAACGGTTTTGAAGACCATTGGGGGGGGGGGTACTGACAGACTATACATATATCCTCCGTATAATATTAGATATTAGTATAATTACATAGATGATTATTGAAAATTCTCCACGCTGATTGGTTGCCGATGAGGTGATTATAAAGCGATAATCACCTAAGCGATTTTCAAAATGGCGGCCGAAGCCATTTTTTTTTCAAATAAATGACGAAGAAATGTGTATTTTTTTCCCAAATAATCACCTATGAAATTATACTAAAACAATTATGGCACCTCAGGCTGGGTGATTATCGTGAATAAAAACCTCGACTTCGTCTTGGTTTTTATTCACCGATCACTACGCCTTCGGCGAATAATTGTTAAATAATACCTCCAAGTACGCCACATTACTCAGTGCCTTTTACTAAAAGTCGTCTTTCTGGATGAACCTCGTAACCATCACCATTAGTACCACTACCAGTCAATGGCCAATATAAAAGACATTTGAGACAATACAATTGTGACGACATTTTCAGATATCTATCGGTGCAAGTTCAAATTTCTTTACTGAGCATATTTGCCAACATCGACAAAGGTTCGTTCACTTCATTTCTAATTCGCTTTCTCTCACAAATTTTTTGGGAAAAGGATTTGTTTGACATTGTAATAAGTGTATATGAAATGAAAATTTTTATATCGTTTTTTTCGCATTTTCTGAAAATTTGGTCTTTTCCGATCACAAAAATACCAATCTTGTTGAAAAATTCGAACCAGAAGTTTGTTAATTTTACGATTAAAGTTCGATTTTGAGACTATCTACTGGCGAAATTCCTGACATTCCATCGCGCGGCCAGTGACGTGTGCAGTGTGACACATTGCGATCTTTCGATATGTAAACACTATGAAAATTATAGCTTCGTCAGTGTAGAATTGGGTTTTGAGAGATTTTGAAGAAAATTCAAACGAATCCACTTTCTGTAGACATCGCTTTCAATGTATAGATACAATATAATTACAACATGACGAGTTGTAGCGTATATTAAGCGGCCGAAAATACAAATTCT